GGTCACAAGCTGGCGGAGGGAAGGTTTAAGTTGGACATCAGGAGGCACTACTTCACGGTCAGGGCGGCTAGGGTCTAGAACCAGCTTCCAAGTGAGGTGGTGCAGGCTCCCACCCTGGGGGGTTTTAAGAGGAGGTTGGATGACCACCTTACTGGGGTCGTTTGACCCCAGTGCTCTTCCTGCCATGGCAGGGGGTCGGACTAGATGATCTGCTCAGGTCCCTTCCGACCCTAGAAACTACGAAACTATGACCCGTCCCCCCAGGGATCTCCTTGGCTAAATAGCCAGAAGATGCTGTGTGTTAGACAGCCGTGAGACTCTTGGAGCATGGTGTAAATAATGGAGTGAGAGCGGCTGAACAAAGCAAGCCACAGCCAGCGTTTCCTCTCCTGCCCCCTTCCAGACAGATGGAAGCGATGGCAGCGCTGGTCTGTGCTCACCTTTGTGCTCGAATGGGGCCTCTGCCCGTGCGTGAGAGACTGATAAATATGGAGGTGGGGGCAAGGAGAGCGTTCCTCAGCGCCAGCTGTGGGGGCCCTCTTGTGATGTGGCATCTGCTTGCTCTGCGTGTGGTGCTCAGCCGGTGGAGCTCCTGCCCGCACGGGGACGGCTGGGCCTTCCCACCTCCCCAGTAGCACGTGCAGGAGCACATTATTCCTGGCTCGTGTCGATATGGCCTCACCAGCTGCATTTGCTTCTGCTGGAAGTGAGGACGTGGGATGTGGAGGAGTCGGCAAGAACGGGAGCTTGCCAAAGCCTGGGTTCCTGCCATCTCTTGGCTTTGCCGAGCGAGCTCCTTAGGTGAGTTGCACGGGGTAGATGCACAGGCACGGATTCTCCTCTCACACCATGTTAGTGCGAAATGCAAACTGCCTATCACAGGTTGATGATAGAAACAGAGGAGGACGGACCCAACTGGAAAAAAAAGTGCCTTCAACATGTTGGTTATGGAAGGTAGGCCATCTGGGAAACCAGCCACTGCTGAGAGGCAGGAGTGACAAGCTGTGGACAGGGGTGTGCACTCAGTGGGCTGAGGTTTGGTTCAGGAAGGGGCTAGCTTCCCCATGTCCAGCTAGGCAGGTAAGGATTTAATAAGGTTTGCTGAAGGGTGCTGCACTCCCAGCATGACGCAAAGCATGCCTTGCACTGTGCCGTATCATCTGAGGGGCACCGAGTGCCTGCAGCCTATGTGGACCTCAGCTGGAGCTTGAAGCGCTCAGCGCCTCTGGAAGTCAGGCACCACGGGCCTGTCTAAAGGATGTGGTGGAAAAATCCACGTGCGTGCATTTAAACAATCCTATGAATCCAGCTGTGTGTCTTGAAGCCCGACAGGTGATTCAGGCTGCCTAGTGTACCAAGTCCTGTTCCAGGGTCACGATGGCCAAATGGGATTACGGTAATTGGGGTCTGAGCAGCATTCAGAGATCCATTATGCTTCCAGGGTGGGAGGATTCCCTTGCGGAGGTTTCCTCCTGGATGCGGATAATGGCATTTCCATTTCACGTGGGGGAGATTAAAGACAAGGAGTCTGGGCATGAAACAAAATACGTCCCAATGCGATGCCTTCTGAGCAAGGCGATTATCCTTTGTGCCTCCATGACTCCCAGGGAGCTTTGCTCGCCTGACATCTGACGGTAAATAATAACATTTGGGAGTCTTGGCAGAGAACAGAGTAATATAATTAAAGTGCACTTCAGTTCCTAGCGCCGTGTTATCTTCAGGGAAGCACACTGGCATATCAATATGATGATAAACAGGAGTTCATGCGTGGGACGCTAACGGTGTGGGCTGGAGATCTTAGGCCGGAGGCCGCTCTGCCCCTGAGAGCGCTAGTTAGGCTTTGTCTACAGGGGATGATCTTCCCAGCGAAGGGAGGCATTCAAGTTTAGTAGCTCTTCTGGACTGGCTGCCTGGGTGGGCATACCTGTTGCTGACTAACAGTGCCTTCTCTTGGTTCAGCTTAATTCACCTCCGGGCTGGAGCGTGTTAAAGCAGCCCCATGCTCTTACTCCACAGTCAGTGTTCACTGTCCCAGCGTAGCTATAGCAGAACGCCTTGTCCTGCAATAGCTGTCCCAGCCCTTTCTCCAGTGTAGAGAAGCCCTTGGATTCGGTGGGCTTTCAGGCCAGCGATGCCTTTTCTTCCACTGCTTGGTAGCGAAGTGATTGCTTCTAAAAAATCCTCCAGGAGCTGGAAGGAAAGCAGCTCTGTAAAAGTGGTATCATGTGGCTCCATGCTCGTATGTTGATGATTTCTGGTCCCAAGTTCTCCCATCCCTTTCTCCACTGGGTAGGACTGAAGCTGGCAAAGAAACGGAGACATTTTTCATGACAGCTTTCTCAGGGGAGGGGGGAGAAGTCATCGTCCCCCTTTTTTTTCTCCCCTCCATAGAAATCTGAAAGGTTGCCAAATAATCAAGTGGAGGAAACGGTGACCAAACTGCCCAGAGAGGACAAATCCGCTCAATACCAAGTGTGGATGCCAGGATCAGGCCCCTAACAACTAAAAGGTGGGCTTTTTCTGCCTGCCAGCCTTGCAAACTCAATCTGGCATCTGGGCCCTGAGGTGCGGGCGTCTCTGCTCCATGCCTTGGAAAGGAAGGTTCCCCACACTAAATACTTACCGTGTGTGGCTTCAGCCTCTGGATTACACCTCCAGTGTTGCCTTCACAGGCCAGGTTTCCCCTGACAGACCAGCAGCAAGTTGCCTGAGAGTTGCTGGGGCAGAGTCCGGATCTGCTTTGGAGCTCAGTTGGCAATCCTGTGGCTGATGCTGGAGATTCCTGCTCCCCATTTCCAGGGCTGTGGGAGCTCTGCTGGGTTGCCAAGAGAAAGAAACTTATTTTCAGAGTAAGCCGAAGCCTGTGAGACCACACACGGGGAGCCCAGCTACTGAGTGAGCAGGTCCATTTTTGCGCAGGTATTTTCCGGCATGGAAAAGCACGATAGAGCTTCTTAACAAGCAGGTGACAGAGTTAAGCTAAAATTATCAACCCTTGTGGCCCCTTGCTCCTACAGGGAGGCTGCTCCTGAGCCTCACGGATGGTCATAAATCTCCTTCCAGTTTCCAGCTCAAGCAATCTGATTTCTGCCTGTGTGCAGCACTTGTCATTCCCAGGGCCAGTGAGGACTGAGTTCAATGGGCTTTATGATAGGGCGGTAGGTAGCCACCTACAAGTTTATCAGGGGAGGACAGTGGGAATTGGGGATGCGCTGTTTACCAGGGAGTATCTAGGGATAATGGGTGCAAACTAGTGGAGAGTAGATTCAGGTTAGACATTAGGAAGATTTTTTTCACAGTACGGGTGGCCAGAGTCTGGAGCGGGCTGCCTGGAGAGGTGGTGCTGTCACCTAACTTGGAGGTCTTCAGGAGGAGGCTCGACAGTCACCTGGCTGGGGTCGTCTGACCTCGGTCCTCTTTCCTGCCGGGGCAGGGGGTCGGACATGATGATCTATCGGGTCCCTTTCGACTCTATAATCTACGAATCTAGGTGCCTTTGGGTGATGCCTGAGTTTAAGGTCCCACCGCATTTGGGTGTGGTATCTCTACTGTTCTGGATTTCACACTTGACTGGATTCAGCCTGGAGCGATGTTGCCCTTTCGGTGTAAGTTGGGGTCTCTATCGCGGTCTGTGCAGGCATGCAGAGGCTCGGGGGCTGTTGGGGTGGGGGCAGTCAGCAGAGCTTGGCTGGGTAGCATTTGAAATGGGAAGATCAAAACCATGGCAGCAGCGTTCCTGGCTGAAGCCTGCTGACTCTTGGGGTTGCATGTGAGGGCAGTGGCAATGCAA